CTACCACAATCGGTAATCCATAATTGTTACATATACAAATAATTTTATTGCATTTTGAACCCTTTGTCGTTCAGTTCGTATGATGTTGTTATAACAAAAAGTACGTATGTATGCTGCTAAAGTCTGTACCGTGCTAATATGCAAATAGTCCATTTAATTTTTTTTTTATAAATTTTTTTGGTTGTGATGTTATACATGGCCGATTGTTAAACAATATATAGGACTGTCTTATTACAATATCTCACCGAAAATTTGTTTTATTTTTTTCATTAAAACCTCCTAGCCCTCAAAGGGCACGCCATCAAACATGAACTTCCGCTTTCCTCATCCAGCAACTACCAGCGACCTTTCTCAGGTCATCAGGCCATCTGGCAGGGGACGTTGGACATTACGGTCTCTGGAGAACCTCAGGAGGATTAGAACTTGGACAAGACTAAGGTCATGTACGAAGGAATTTGACAAGACTAAGGTCATTTACGAAGAATATAGATTGAAAGGAAGAAAGAGATTTATTTGACATAAAATAGACGTACACAACAATCATTTAAAACAATAAAAATTAGACAAAAAAAAACATGAACATAAACCTCCAGTATGCACAATATATTCCCTGCTCATTATAGTACGTCGCCATTCATGCCAAAAAGGACATCACTCAGCAGAATGTTGCAGTGAAACTGCAACGCTGATTTTCAGTAATGACCAAAAAATTGGGGAATACATACACGTTATATCTGTGCACCTACCTCGATATCTCTACACCACCCTAAGGTTGACTGGTAGAAAATGCCTTTGGCATTAAGTCCGCCTTTGTAGTTTGTATTATTATTATATTATTATTATTATTGAGGACAAGGATGTGTGGAAATGACTTGCTTTGCACTTGCAAGTCCCCTGAATTTTTACTTAAATACTTTTGTGTAATTAATAAATTCTAAATAATTTATAAAAAGAAAAAGAAATATATAATCGCAGAGTTTCTTTCAGGTTCTTCTCTTACAGGTCAAGCTTAGTGAACCGGTGGCAGTTTTTGACGTTCAATAAAAGCTTAAAATAAGCCTATGTAGAATAAAGAAATTTTAACTTTGAAATAGGTAACTCTTATAGGGGACCACACAAAGTATACTTTTTTACATCGAAATCCTAGTAAACGTTCAAAATGAATCAGTCGCTTAGTTCAAAAAAATTGAATTGAATGTTTGTGCGTTAAGGCTGTTTTAATATTAGTGAATATTTAAATCTTAACATACCCTAGAGATTAATTGATCGCTCCAGGCTTTTTCAAGGGGACTTTAATATATCGTCAATTAAAATTAATTAAGATTTGATTTTTAAATAAATAATAACAGCCATAACCTAACTTACAGAGTCTACAACCCAGTTTAACGTAACCGACTTAATTATTATTTTTAACTTATATCACACAGTTTTCAAGGCATTGGCATACGTTGTAATAGATTTATTGTAGGAGTTACATATTTTGTCTCTTAAAATAAGGCCTTATTTAGAATAATCTCTATTTTTTTAAATTATTAAAGTTAAAAGATCTTCGTTATGAATAAAAAAAATTGCGTAAAATTATACGCAAATTGCTCAATTACACAAAATGAACTTTAATTACTTACCATTCTTTGGAACATACAATATTAAATCTGTAATGGAGATCATACATTCAAACAATCAATCGGTCTTCAAATGATACATTAATTATTATTATGAATTATTAATTTAAAGTGTTAGGACTCTTTCTTGTATTTTTTACAAATGGGAAGTTAATTTAGATAATTTTGAGCACGGATGGCACCTCTATTTCAGGTCAGTCACATGCTTCTTCCGCCACAATTTTTTTGACAATTACAATTGAACAAGTCCTCAGACTAGAGATGGGTCGTATCGCTTTTTCTGAGTACCGTATCTGAATCAGATTTCGCTTTCAAATATCAGATTTCGAAACTATGTATTTTAATATCTAGATATTTTACGGTCACGTATCCACCTTCAATTCAATAAAAAAAAAAAAAAAAAAAAAAAAAAAAAAAAAAAAAAAAAAAAAAAAAAAAAAAAAAAAAAAAAAAAAAAAACAACAAGAAAAAAAAAAAAAAATTTTTTTTGGAAAAAAAAAAAAAAAAAAAAAAAAAAAAAAAAAAAAAAAAAAAAAAAAAAAAAAAAAAAAAAAAAAAAAAAAAAAAAAAAAAAAAAAAAAAAAAAAAAAAAAAAAAAAAAGTTTTCAACGATATTTTATACTCATTCGGAATATAAATTGTGCAGGCGTATTTAAGTGATACCAACTGTTCCAAAAGAATACTTCTAAATAAATTCGAAAACCCACTAAAATTTACTACATTTTAAATCACGATTTTTTAATACTATTAAGGTAAAATTAAAACATTACCTGATTACATTTAAAATTTCATTAAAAATAGAAATTGAAGTAATATAAAAATGAATTGATTTTTAACATCTTATATATCGCTTAATAATTGACTTTAACATATTCTTAACACGCAATCATGAGTGACAATATTTTTATAATTTGTGTAAGAAATAATACATTCAGCATTATAACTTATGGCAGAAGAATTTAAATATACACACAAAGCACATAAGCCTTGGTCTGATTTCCACCCAAGCAGCACAGCACTATTAAATTATATTTTTCTTTTTGTGTACTTTTATTTTTTTCCACAAAATTTAACTAATAAAAATATTCACAAAAAATTTTCCTCCTAAAACATTTCCATTTGTATTTTTCTTCCTTAATTTTGGCAGAAAATTCTTAAGTAGTAAGTTGGCATCCCTTTCGTTAATATCGTAATTCGTATTTAAATGCAACAAGATTCAAAATTACTTAACTGCGCGCTTTGTCGCCCGTTACGGCTCAAGGCTAAACAAAACAATACAAATATAATAATAAATCGTTGTAGTATTTAATTAAAACGGATCTTATCAGTATGATCTTAAGATTCAAAATTACTTAACTTATTCATAATATCTGTTTAAAAATCTGATATTGTGCCTTGCTTGCCGTACTGCTCTAACTAGTGTAATATTTGTATCTCACGCGCTTTGTCGCTCAAAATCTGTTTTAAAAATCTAATATCGTGCATTGCTTGCCGTCCCGCTCTAACTAGTGAGTATTTATATCTCACGCGCTTTGTCGCTCGATATCTGATATCGTTCATTACTTGCCGTCCCGCTCTAACTAGTGAGTATTTGTATCTCACGCGCTTTGTCTCTCGAAATCTGTTTAAAAATCAGATATTGTGGCAAACCGTATGATATCGCGATTCGTGTCGGTATAGTGAGCGAGCGAGTATTCGGTATATCAGATTTCGGAAATATCAGATATTGTAAAATACATAGATATTGAACGAGCCAGTAAGCGATATTCGGATATTGTACTAATATCTAGATTTCATATCTGATACGATTTGTATCGCCCACTTCTACCTCAGACTAATCAGGACTATACGATTGTAGCTCAAGACATCTATAGTCAATTTATTTATTTATACTCCAGTATATTTAAAAATTCGACATGTCGATTCATATTATCGACTTCTTATGTCGAAATCTTTATACTAAACACTATGTAAAGTATATAGTGTACAATTTTACGGGAGAACAGTGTTATCTAAATATTTGATTACGATTTATCGATGACGTCATTGACTTTTATGAGTAATAGATTGTTTATGAATTAAAAGTGCCGAGTTAAGATATTTTATTTGAGAAAGATTGTTAACATTTTCGGGACAGGCAGCCATATTGGGAATTAGGAACCTGAATCCTTACATTTTAACGTTTAGACCTCTTTCACTAAGGCCTTAGACACATCACTAGACAGTTTTCACCTCCTATAAGTGTGCTTATTAAATGAATCTGATGGGGTATTAAATAAGTATATGACTATCGCGAAAAGAAAGAAAATATTTTCTCGAGGGCCCTGTATGTTTAAAGGATAAGAATACAACATAAACAACATTTTGTAACATATTAAGAATATTTTAAAAACACACATATATATATATATATGTGTATATATATATATATATATATATATTCTTGTAAGACAGCATTAGTAGTGAACATATACATCGAAGAACTTTACAAACACGTTAGTGACCTCTCCGCCTAAAGAAGCCCAGCTGGAATTCGACATTATAAACATCATGGTAAAATGAAGCTTAAGTTTTAGCTTTTTTAACATACGATTTTACCATCGTATATCGTAATCCTCGCAACGAAGATAAAATGCCAGATTCATAGAAACAGTCCATGAAATAAAATAAAAAATTCACATTCAATTCACAATTAATTTCCTTACCATAATTAGCAAATACCTAACTTGTAATATATATCATCATCATCATCATCATCATTTAAGCCTATTTGAGTCCACTACTGAACATAGGCATGTTTATAATGTATATATAGGGTTAAAAATTGTACAAAACAAAAATTGAATTTTAGAACAGTGATTCTTAAGTATAAAATTAATTAAGCTTTATTTCTTTAATCACGTCACACGTCCTAACAAAGTTGTTAAGAGTAAAAAAATGAAAATGCTTAAAGTGCAACTCATTTTGCAACTCAATAATTAAATTTTTTACAACATCTATTCCATTAACAGTCCCCTTTTTCAATTTATCCTTAAATTCATCAGTAACTTCTACTTTACATAACTTTAAAAAACTGTTTAATTCCCCTTCCGATTGGAAAGGAAATAGTCCGGGTATTATTGGTACATTTATGTCAGCATGTTTACATTTTTTTACAAACTCTTTAAAAGTATTTGCTTCGAATATTGCTTGGGATATGATGAAATCTGCTCCATGGTCAACTTTTTGTTTTAACGTTGAAATTTTATGTTCACTAGAAGGAAAACCAGCAACACCTATACAAAAATAATCCCCGGTAGTTTCTCTTATATATGCGATCATTTCTTGGCTTGTGTGAAAATCGGATAGGTTAGAGTTAAAAGATTCTGCAAAAAACAGATGAAGGGTACAACAGATGAAAACAGGGTGGGTAAAACAGATGAAAACAGAGGTAAATAATTATGATTAAAAAATATTACTAAGGAAATTATATTCATCGAGTGAAAAACCTACCTCCCAAAATTATAAATAAATTACAAATCCCTTTTGCTTGCAACCACGAAAGTAAATCATTTAAATATTCTTTTTTTATTAGATTACATGATAAATGTAGTAAAACATGTTTCCCTGACTGCCTCAAAAAATTAGCTAATTTAAGAGGCGCAATCTCCAAATCCTTACATTGATGAGAAATGGCGTGCCATGTTATAGAATAAAAAGTTGGCTGCAAATCTACTTTATTTATGTCGATTTTTGTTACATCTGGTGTCACTTCGAATGAAAATGTGAACGAACTATTAGTTTTGAGTAAATCAGCGATTTTAATTTCCAAAGTCATTTTAAAATATAAATAAGATATTTACAATGATTACTCACACGACAAACGTCTCAATGTAACCCTTATCAGTTACATTTAGACATATGAAAACACCAATATAAAGATAATTTAATTGTCCAATTTAGGACAACTTTTTTTCAGATTTTTTAAAATTTTTAAGCATAGTAAATGATCTTTAATAAAAAAAATCATTTAAAGACTTTAGAGCCCATTATCTTCGTGAGTTTAATTTTTGGTTTTGGTCATTGTTTATTATTTTCGTAAACCTTGTATTTCATGAAGTATTTAACAGGGTTTTTAGAAAATAAAGAAAAAAAGTTACATTCCATCATATATTGTCTAAACCTAGCTCTAAGGCGGCTTTTTATTTATAAAAGTTAATAAAATTGCGCTTTCTTGATAATAAATAACTTAGAAATATAAATCCTTCTGTTAACATGTTAGTTATAATTTCAATGTGACATACATTATGCAAATTAGTGTAAAAGTTCCTAAATAAAATAAAGAGAAAAAAGAAAAACGAATAGAGAGCGCCTTTAGATGCGTTCGATAACTAGTCATCGATGTCTCATATTAAGAACTCGCGAATCTTAATGGCTACAATAAATAGACGTGAAACAAACAGGGTTTAACATTTAAACACGAAAGGCTAATCTTAACCAGTTAGTCGTTTTTTTTAGCGCTAACCCTCACAACACATCCCACAGTAGGGACGAAATTTTATATTGCCCTCCTGGTAGAAGTGATACTAGTACAAGTGACGCACCTCAAACCTAGCATGCGCTGCACAACCCGCTAGTCCACTACTCACAGAATCATTTATTTTTATATATTTTTATCATATATTTTGGCAACGATTTTCTGGCTGAATCATTTAGCTACTTCGGCGTCTCCTTCGAGCAGGTCGTGGTAATGAATGATCGCCGCCTCGAACTGTCGGAGAAAAAGTCTTCTCGGAGTAGCCTCAACTGTAGGTGAAGTGGCGTCAGCGGAAGGCTGACTTTGGTCACACACTCGCGGACCGTGCCTAGAGCGGCTCGTAACACATACATTAACATACATAAAAGGTTCAGCGTACTCGACGTCGAGTAGCGCCATTTTTGAATCTGTGTGTTGATATTGTTAGTTAACAGCGAGTTTGCATACTTTTGGTAAATCATCACGTAAATAATTTGCGGTGGTAGGTACACGCAATGAATGGGCGAATAGGCAGTTGCGTCCGGGCACGTACCATGGCTTCATATTAGACCGGCGTCTTAAGCTTTCCCGTTTCGTCTGGTGAGTGAGGTAATCGGGGCCCACTTTTTTAAAAGTTTTCATTTGTCAATGGATCTGCAAGCCCCGAAGACGAACAACACTAAGCAAAAAAATCTTTTACATTGTCAATTTTCTTGTTTTGTTACTATCCACGTAATAGATAGAGAAAACTGTTTACTATCCCTCTATCTTTCTGTGGACAGAATCCACTAGAACATAAATAATACATACATACTGACCTTCATCTTACTTAGAATAGAAAGTTTATTTAAGTGATGAATATTGTATACTCTGTACTGTAATAGTCTGTATAGAGAATACCTAAGACGTTAATATATCATAACTAGTAAAAAAAAATGTGTCAGATTGGTTCAGTATAGTGTTGTTGATTTGATTATAAAATTTTAAGGTTAGATAGTATTTGATATTGGTCGCCGTCAAGGTTTTATCGAACCCATTAAAAATATTGTTACCATTGCACGGTTCACAGTAAGTTGTAATGTTCTTTTGCATTATAATAATGTTTATCTATAAAAAAATTGTAAAAGTTTTTTTATTAATGTGTACAAAATAAGAATGAACTCTAGTAATTCTTGGAGTTTTTCTATGCAGTTATATCCTGCTTACATGTCTTCATAGTTCACTTTTTTTTCACAAATATGTAGAAAATATATAACCGTAGTCCTTAAGAACCTACCCATATGAACTGGATATTTTCTCATTTTAGGATATTTGTGAGACGAAAAATGTCTTTCCCAGATCGAGCTCAACGGAAAACTTGTTGGGATTCTAGGGATCGTTACTGGGAGTGTTTAGATAGTCATAACATCAGAGACAGTTCTAGAATACCCAAAGAATGTACTGAAATTAGGAAAATATTTGAAAAATCATGTCCTCCTAAATGGGTTACTCATTTTGATAGAAAACGAGACTATGAGCTATTTAAAGAGAAAATGCAGAAGGAGGGATTTGAGCCAATCAAAGAAACTTAACTTTAATTAATTCTCAATTTGACATAAATTGTAAATATAGATAATGTAGTAAATTATAATTAAAGAAATGGTCTTTTATTTTACCTATTACATTTTCAAATTCCTGATTCATTCTGCTTTCTCTGAGGTGAAACTTGATATTTTTGTTCAATTCCTCAAAGGTATGGTGTGATATGTCTAACAATATTGTCCTTCATTATAGGTGTGTTCTTCAATGCAACATGGATGATTTACGTTGTATTATATCAAGTCTTGCCGTACCAGCTTCACTTTTAACATCAGACGTTTTACGGGTAATGTTAAAACATCTGTACTTAAAATTCATGATTTTATAATCTGTTTTATTTTCCCTTAACATAATTATAATTTACCTGGATTGATAAAGGGTTATAAAAATTAGCAATTTTAAGTCACATAGCAATATTAATCTACATTTGTGTTCTATAATCTCTATCCAGTGCCATATCTAACTTAAAATTTTTTAAAATTTAAGTTAACCTGATTTTGCATTTCCAAAAAGATTATCAAATTATTAAACTATTACATGTATTAATCACCGTTAATCAACAGTATTTTTGTTTTTTGTTTTTTTTATAGGATATATTGATAAAAATAAAGACAAATATAAGATCCTGCAATGATGATTTTCTGGAATTATACAAAAGAATATTGGAAGCTTTATGGACTCATCTCCAGTCAAAACTTCAGGAATTTGATGATCAATTAATCTGTTCCACATGCTTTTATGCAGTTCTGAGTGCTCTTGATAACCAAGAAGAATTTCTTCACTTAATATCGCGAATTGTTGATGAGGAATTAAGCAATAGAAAAAAATTTAAAGAAGACAATGATTTTACAATGAAAACAGTATCCATTATTTATGGCATATTTCAGTCCAATTTAATTCCACTACGAGGCAATCAATATCTTAATATTTTTAAAGATATTTTAAAATCATCTTTGAATTTGCTTATTCATATGGCTTATGAATATTCAAATTACACCTTTATTATTTTTAAAATCCTAGCATCAATTAAAAAGGTTGTAGGTACAAATTTGCAGCTTACAGTATTTACAAGGGACAACCAATTGAAATTATTGAACATGGTAAATCATAATTGGGAAAACCCAATCAATGGAGTTAGAAATTTAAACAAGTCCATTTTAAAGACCATCATATCTGTAGCAGATGTTGATATATATGTTGAAATGATTGAGGAAATTAACACTTTTTACTGGAATAAAGCAAAGTATTTGATGTTTACTGAGATAATAGAGCAGTACAATGGAAACATTGATATTCCTTTAAAGAAGTATAATTTAATTGACGGGCTCTTGCACAGTTTACATAAACCTGGATTAGTATCAGCAGGAGCTGATCTGTATTACTCTGTTTTGAAGAAAATTCAGTCTGAAGATGAATGGGCTGCACTATTTTTACATGAAATCAAATACATATTGAACAATTCTTCACGAAAAGCCATAGAAAACTTTAACAACTACTGGTGTTTAACAACATTTAAAAAATTTCCATCATTGAGTCCTTTGATACTAAACACTTTACAAGCTAGTGAGAGATTGGAAGAAAACGCATTTAGTATATTATGTCTACTAAAACAAAGTAATAAATTAAACTTAATTGTGAACTACATTGAAATGAGAACTTTTGAAAAATTGATATTGCATTGTATTGAACATTGTAATCCTTACATAAGAATGGCTGCTTTTGATATAGTTTGTATTTCTAATGGAAAGTCCTGGCCAGGTAATATAAAATATGATTCAATCTTGAATTATTTGTCCGACAATGTTAATTCTGATTTTACAGTATTAAGATTGAGCATGCTGAATAGCTTGAGTAATTTTTTGAGTCATTTACAAACAATGCACCTGAATAGTACAAACATTGCCGAAAAAGATGTTGAGAAATTATTCCTATTCTGTGTCCAGTTACAAAATTTAATAATAAGCTCATTGGAAATTAATGGCAATTATCAGCGTAAAATTACAACTATTAAGATAGCTTGTATTGTTTTCAATAGTTTTATTGCAATTCCAAGAAAGAAGCATAAGCAAATGAAACAAACTCACTATACATTAATGGAATTTATAATTGAAAAAGGGCAATGGATACTATCTAATGAAAAAGTAGTTAAAAACTTGATTAAAATCTTAAGTGACCCTGCAGACGATGTAAGACAAAATGTATTGGAGTTATTGCTGGATCATTATAGTACTATGTTGAAACAACCACTCATCATGAATCAAATAGTAGATCTAGCAATTACAAAAATAAGTACCAAATTTTTTTATGAGATCAATTGTGGCAAAAGCATGTTTGAATTAATAATCAAAGTTTTGATGAAGGAAGATGGTTTAGAAGGGATAAGGTTTCAAAATATAGAAGAGATTTTTAACTTTGCATACAATGAGCTGCTTATTGAGCACAGGCTTAAAAGAGATATTGTAGAATCTATAGAAAAAGGAAAACAGCTGCATTCATATATGTGTATTTTATGTGCGATATTTGAGTCAGTTCGAAAAGGGTCTTATAAATTACAAATGGATAAGAATATTATATGGTCGTTATTACAGATTTTAGAAGACACATCTAGTCAATTTATTTGGGAAGAAGGTGTTGGAATTAGTTCTGATTTTTCAAAAATGAATGACATGGTTTTAAAGCTTATAGAAAAATCAGGTTATGCAACAGAGGAAGATGAGGCTAAGATTACAGGATTACAACAAATTGTTTTGAATTGCCTATGGTTAAATGTAAAGGTAATTTTAAAAATATTTTTTATAATCATTCTTGAAATAATTTGATGACTATTGTTCCATTAATTTAGGAGTCCTGTAACTTAGTGTCACTCATGATCCAATACTACAAGTGTGATATGGATTTGGATGTATGCCGAAAATCCCTTTATGTGCTTACAAAAGTTCTTGAGACATCTCGCCATAAAGGAGTCATAGAAGCAGCTGGTGTAGCCCTTGGTAGGTTTTTAAATTAATGAAAAGAATACTATATTTAGAAAAAAAAAACATTTATTCTATAAATATATTATTTTGGTTATATTTTTATTACAGGTGAATCTATACAAACATTAACATCATTACCAGAATGTCAGCTATCAAGTCAACCATCACTTTTATTGGATCAAAAATTAAAAGAGTTTATTTCAGAGGCTAGCAACATGGCATCAGTTACTAGACGGGGTGCAGGATTGTCTATAATGGTTCATAGAATTGTTAGCAATGACATGCAAACAAATAAGGTATGTATATTTTCTCTGAAACTGTTATTAAACGTATTCCTAAATTTTATTTATAATTTATATTATTTTTCAGCCTCTGTTCCACCATTTTATAAATACCTTATTAGACTGCTGCAAAATATTGCAAGATGATCCAAGATGTTTATCAAATGTTCACAATAAAAAGGATTTACCTAAAGCTATTTATATTCATTTTTTGACCAGAATAGTTACTGATAGTAGTTTAACAACAGAAGTTATGTATTATTCAGAAAAATTGGTTGAACTTGCTTTTGAAAATATCATAAGTTCACATTGGCAAATAAGGTATGTTACCCACATACTTGTTAGTCAGTGAATGATATCTTTGTTGCAACTGTTTGTTACTTTTGCAGGAATGCAGCACTCCAATTGTATGGCGCTTTAGTTCCAAAACTAATTGGTCAAAAGAAAGATTGTGGTTCTGAAGATGAAGTTACTGCTACTGTAGCTTGTGATGAATTTCGTACACACTTCCCCCAACTGTGGATCTTTATCTTGAATCAATTGAAACAAGATAACGAGAAAGAAAACCTACAATTCCATTCTAATTTATTGCCTATATTAAATATTCTAGGTAATATGGCAAAGAGATACAATTTTTCAAATGACTTGAATCACATGATAATGACTGATAAAGATTTATTAAAACAACTAACTCCTCTACTAGGAAGTCCAATATTTACTGTAAGGCGACTTACTGCAAAATGTATATTTAATATGTATACATTTGACAATATTTTTGAACTTCTTTTAAAATATGAAAAACTGTCAGAAAATTTTCTTCATGGTTGCCTTTTATTATTTGTAAATTGTTACAATCATTATAGAGGTATTATATATAAAGACAAATTTGACATTTTAATAGACAAGTTTAAGGCAGTAATGCATGGATCAAACCATTCCTATCCATGTATGGAATTAATAGAGAGTGTTTCCAGTGAAGGAGTATATGATTTTTCTGAAATACAACTAACTTTAATAAAAATAAAGACCCAAATAAATGGTCCAGGAAAATTTCAATGGGCTAATGCAAACATTCATAAATTTTTGCTTAATTGCCAATGGAATATAATTCCACAATGTTTACCCTTGATTTTGGAGAATAGTGACTATGAAAAGCATTGTAAAGTTTTGTATAAAAGATTAATTTCAGTACATAATGTAGACAATAAAGTTTTGATAGAAATAATAAAAATACTAACATCTTTTTTAAGAACTAAGTGTAGTAGTGAAGCTTGGAAGATATTATATAAAATATCGCTTTTGTTTGATTGTGATAAATATATTAATATTGAAGTAATCAGCTCAAGAAATGATAATATTTTATACAAATCAAGATTCATATTACCACTTTTAGCAAGAATTACATCAAATACTGACAGATTATTAGTCCTATGTAAACAAATTCACAAATTATGTAATGCTGACTTGACTGATGTTGATATGAGAATAATTGCTGCTACTGCAAATAATGAGGTGGCTAATAAACTCAGCACATTTTCTGATGAAGTAAAAACAATCTCTATAGTTAATGCAGTTATTCTACTGCAAGATGAGGATGAAGATGTTAGGAATTTGAGTGTTTATTTCTATAAGAATGCTAGCAAAAACATATTAAAAGTCCATTCATACATATGTTTAAGAAGAATTTTACATGGTAACTTTTTAAAGTCAGTTTTAAGTGACTACAAAAATTGTGTAAAATCAATATATGATCATTTATTAAACTTTTATTTGTCTGTTGGCTCTACTGATTCTGATCTATTCAATCCTTTTGCAAACAATTGTAAAAATATTTATCAAGAAATGGACATTGTAAAACAACTGATTTCTAAATTAAAGGATTCTGATTTCGAATGAAACTCAAATTGTTTGGCTTTACTTACCATTATATTTTAATTTTCGATTTAAGTAATGTAACCTATACAAAAGAATAGTAAATCATTCTTCATAATAGTATTTTTGTGAAGATGTGTCCATTGTGTCATCTATTTTTATAGAAACTATATGACGCCCTGGAACCATGACTAGACCCAAAACACGAGGCTCTTCTGTTTCACCATCATTATTTTTAAGGTACTCTGAACAAGCACCTGGAAAAACAAAATATATTTAAGAATAGATACACAAAGTTTTAACATCGAATAGAACAAGCTTGCATATCTAAGAGACTGATGATTTGTATGGCTTTTTTGACAAGTGGTAGCCTCACACTGGCCACCATAGTGTGGGATGACCCCGCACTTGATGGAGTAACAACCTGTGCAAGGAAATTGATGTATGCAGGTGACTCAGGAGTGTACTTTGTGGAAGTCTGTGGGGGAGGCCTATATTCAGGCCATGAGTCCACATGGCAACAGACTGAAATGATGATGAAGGTACCACAAGCTTGACAGACCCTACCCAGTCATGCATGAATGTGTACATTAATAAAAATTAGGTAAAACATTTAGAAAATTAGAACCACCTGCAACACTCGGAGTTTTGGGTTCAATTCTCACATGGACCAAATATTAGTGTTACTCATAGATTAAAGTATGCGAGATAGTGTTTATTTTCATGTGTTCAAAATATCAGTTAGGTGATTGGAGGTAAAAAAACCTTGATAATACCATTAACAATATGATTCACATATTGTGCCGACTCCACCTAGGTGGGATTAAGGGGGAAGAAAGGACTTTGTGTTGTAGTACATGGATTGTTAAATTTTTTGGTTTATGCTATGATATTTGTTATTGTTGAAGTTTTCAGGGGAACTGCCTTGATAACTTCTCCAGAATAACAAAGTAACATCTTCACAACAATCATTGTAATTTTTTACTTATAGACAAATATAAATGTTAAACTATATATATATTTTGCTTAAAATTCAGTGCAAAAATCTGTAAATCAAGAAGACTTACCAAGAATGACATTGGCATCTCTATCTGTACAGAGAAATACTCCTATAAGTACTCTGCCATCTGTCATCTCGATTCTGAAGTTCATATTCAACCATTTCCTTAATTTAGCTTTACCATCAATTTCGCCATTATCCTGAAAAATTGTATAAAAATTAGAGTCTACATTGACTTTTTGATTGAGTGAGTGAAAAGTAGTGGAAATTTGATTGTTTCTTTTACTGTTGTTCATATTGTTGATTATACACTGCTGTTCCTTGTTTTTAATATTTTTTTCCGAATCAGAAATATTAAAGTGAAAGAAAATAACTAGCAGGTTGCAATTTTTTTATAAAATTTACCATATTCATTTATTACATGCTAGTTAGTTAGTAGTTACAAGTATTTGGTCCGTTGTTTGAAAAATTTAGTTGGCGCAATGCCTGGTAGACGTGTTTGATTCTTTATAGGTCTGTTAACTTCAGTCCTTTTTTCTAACTCCTCGTTAAAAATTTTAAACACGAATTCAATTACTGGATTAAAAACTTTGGTCATCTTTCTTAGGAAATCTTTAGAACTTAAAGGTAAATTCACTCCGTGTCATGCTATTATCGTAGTATTAAATCAATAATGTTGTATTTTAGTTATTACCTTTATTACTTCTGAATTTTGTATCGAAGCAGTATTACTCATTTTGATATATATGAATACTGAAGAAATAGGTAGAGTTATGATTAGTTATAGATCATTGAATTGTTCGTTTTATATTATTTTTGCTCTAAAAACTATTTTAAATTGAATATCATTCTAAATAATAAAATAATTCTGACCGAGTCAGACTGTAGGCAAACTGACAGTGACAGTGACTGACTTTTGATTTAAATTTATTAAAGAGGAAAAATTTACAATCTTTGTTGATCTAATATTTACAAGATTAATCTATCTAAAATTACATATTATGAATTTATTTTAATTTTGAGTTATGACATTTCCTATTGTTTTAATTACGATAGGTAGATAGAAAAATTTATTATGTCTCTGAATTATACTTTACAATTGAAAAAATATTAATCAATAAATTACATTGTTATTAGTTATTTTAAAGATTTTTTGTTTTACTTCAACCTTGTAAAGGTAACACATTGTTTTACGCAAATGTACGAAAAGATTGTGGCCGCTATGGGAATCGAACAACAATGTAGATAAATTGCCACACCAACGGCTGATTGCCACACCACCGAAAACTTCGGTATGGCAATCAGCCGTTTAGCATAGTGGCTAAAGTGTCAGGCCGCGAATGCCGAAGACGTGGGTTCGATTCATAAATCCTATATTAATTATGATCAGGGGGACATGGCAGTGTGATACTTTTTGGCCTTCATTTAGTGACATTTTTGCTTAACTGTGGTCGTTGGGTTCCCGCCACATGATGGCACATCTATTTTTTACTATATTTCGTATAACAGACTGATGCGTTGGACACCTGAATGTCATTATTAATTGCAAATTTGCAATAATACTTAAAAAAACTGACAGTAGCCCGGGTATGGATTATTAACTGCGTAGATCGGACATAAAATTAATAATTAAAAAACTGACCGTAGCCCGGGTTAATTATGATAATAAGAGAGATATGATAATAATTTCTTGTATTTACGCGATTACACATTATAAATGAAACTAATTTTACGGATTTATCGCGTTTATTTTTAATTTTAATTCCCGACGTTTCGAACCCTTTACAGCGTTCATGGTCCCGTGACCATTAGTTTCATTTATAAGAGAGATATCAATTAACATCATTACTAGGACCCGTTCATTCATCCTCAATTTCACTAGTAAAATGGCGGTACACCTATTGATGAATTGTCGTGTATGGAGAAATCCGAAGAAGGTAAACTCTAATAGTAAATTAGTCTTAATAAAAATGTCAATTGTCACTGTCAGTTACAAATTTCAATAGGTATATTTAATTTTCACTGCTTTACATTGTTTCTTGTCTACAAAATTTGTAATTTTAATGTATTATCTTGAGTTGTGTACATGTTAATCACGAATCTTTAATATCAGTGATAGTGTTAAGATTAAATATGCGAATTTTAGTATATATGTCTTATCTTTGTATGCGATATTGATGGCAATATTTAGTCTGAGGCGTAACGTAAACAGCCTTTCTTCTATGTGATAGCATAATATAATCATATAATTTGTGCTGGAAAACATGAAAAGAACATTTGATCAAGCTAATGAAAACATTTTTATGCAAGTTTTTAAGTATTATAAGTGTAAAAACCCGAAACCTTCGTATGAACATGTAATTTCTATTAAAAATAATAAAATGTTAAATAAGGTAATAATATTTTGTTTCTGCTCAAGCGTGCTGTATAAGTTCTATGAGATTTTTTTCTGGTTAAAAATACAATAATGGCTATCAATGATTTCATATCAAATTAATTTCATTTTGATTTAATAATAATAATATAGCCTATATATATTTCACATTTTTTTTTACATAATATTGCTCCTTATATATATATTGCTTATTATGTAGCTCTTTGATATTTATTATGACACAATTTTCCATGCCTTTTGATAGTGTTCTAGCATATCATCTTGATATTAGACTGTTTTTAATATTTTTATGTATTATGGTAATATATGTTTCAGATAGAGCTACATAATTATAAAACTGATATTGAAGATACTAGAACTGAACTTTTAGGCTTAAGTTCAGTATCAGAATGGAATTGCTATTCAATTGTGGACCACCCTGGATTGTTTCTTATAAAAAACCCCTTTACAAGTCTAGGACAACGCTATTGGATTAGAAAATGTTTAGAAGAATATTCGCAAAAGCCAAATAAAACTAATATAGATGTAGAAAACATCATAAAAGATTGGTGGAAAGAATGTTATGTGAATGGAAAATGTAATACCAAATTGCAGAAGAAACTACGATGGACAACTCTTGGTTATCATCATAATTGGGACACAAAAGTAAAATGTTAATATTGCAGTTTAAAATTTGAATATTATTAGAGAAAAGAGTACCAGAATGTATGATGGATAGTAATGCACTTTTAAAATTGTTCTATAATATTAAAATATTATGCTTAAAATTTTTTTTTAAAATGTGGTAGGGTCATGAACAGCCTTTGCTGGTTAATGAATGTGTAGGCTCGTCCAGGGAAGTTCCATAAGCTTCATTAAAGTGGAAATATTATACTCCTGCATTTTGGCTCATGAGTAAGTTTACTATGGCTTATTTCTTTAAAATGGGGGCAATACATGTGGCTGTGTTGTTTCAAGTTAAATACTATTAAAACATTTTATGAGTAGTAATATGTAACACTTATTTAAATTCACACACATACATACCACAGGGAACTTTAAGTTGTATGTTAAATGTAGGTAATTAGTTAGTTTGCCATAACCATTGACAATTTTAAAAATTATGTGTGTAAACTTTAATCAATGTATCTGCTAAATTAGGTTTATAGTGAAGAAAACAAATCACCATTCCCAGAAGACTTAGCAGAATTATGTGATTGCATAGCTCAATATCTTTGCTACACACAGTACAAAGCAGAAGCAGCAATTGTAAACTATTATCATTTGGGATCTACTCTTTCTTGTCATGCTGATCATTCAGAAATAAATTTGGAGGCTCCATTGCTTTCTTTTAGGTAAGCTAAAAGTTATAAAACTAGTAAATATTAACCACATTATAAGGAGCTGCGCAGCTTTACAAGCACGCGCTCCATAGGAGTATGCCTCCACGCGGGCGGGAAAGAGATACGTATGTTCGCTGCGTATCGCACGCCCGGCTTTCCCTTCAACGCCAGTGACATCTGGAATATCTTTTCCGATAACATTCCTGCCATTATAGCGCGGGATCTCAACGCCAAGCATCCATCGTGGGGATCGAGAATTGAGACCCCCGCAGGCAGGAGTCTATACGAAGATGCCGAGGAGGTGGGTTATGAAGTGCTGAGCCCTGACGAGCCCACCCACATACCCACCATCGAAGATCACGTTCCGGATGTCCTGGACATCGTGCTCTGCCACAAAGTGCCATGCCCAGTCCAGATAGAGGTGCTGTAGGATGCGGACACGCAGCACCTCCCTGTGCTCATCGTGCTGAGTCTGGCTGCGGACTCACTGGCTCCCAGAGGCCCTAAATACAGGACCGATTGGGGAGCCTATTCGAGGGCAATGTCCACATTTAGCTTCGGTGCACCCATATCAACCGCGGAAGACGTGGAACAGGCCGCGCGCAAAATCACCTGTAAAATACAGGAAGAATTGCGAGAAGAGGGAGCTTAGAAAGCTGTGGGCCCGCACCCGTGCGCTGCCCACGAGTGAAGACAAAACTCAATCGGCTCAAGGACGAGCTGTCGGCAGCCATCAAGGCGTACAGGGGTGATGGGTGGGAGCGCCGCATTGAGCAAGCCTCTGAGTCGCAGACTTCCCATCTGTCCACTCGTGGGTAGCGATGGGCGTAAGCACGCTGCAGCCCAAGACAGGGCTGACATATTGGCAGAGCACCTAGAAGAGCAATTTGTGGCCAACACATCGGCCCCAGGCGCCATTGCGTTCCACCAAGAAGTGGAGCGGCACATACAGGTGTTCCTGTCGGAGCCGGTGCCACGGCTGGATGGTGGACTTTTCATCACTCCGGCCGAAGTGCGTATTCCACCACGGCGCAGCTGGCCCGAGTGCTGCACTATGTCGCATCTGTCTGGGGGTCCTTCTCGACATGGAGAAGGCCTTCGACAGAGTGTGGCACGAGGGCCTACTGCATAAGCTGTTGGAGAATACCACCACCCACCGTGCGCTCCGGAACCGGAAGTTCGTCGTACACGTCGAGGGAGCCGACTCGGCGGTACGATGTATCAAAGCCGGTATACCACAAGGTAGTTGTCTGTCGCCACACCTGTATGCGGTGTACACGGACGACATTCCCACCTTGGAGCAAAACGCCTCCGACTGGGATGAAGACGTACTGTTGGCCCTGTACGCGGACGACAGTGCGTTCTTCACGTCTTCACACAACGCGGCGTTTGCGGCGAGGAAGATGCAGCGCCAATTGGACCTGCTGCCCGAGTGGTTGGATAAGTGGCGGATGTCTGTCAATGTTGACAAGAAGTCCGCCATCTACATCTGCCACATCAAACACCAACCCACGCTTGAGTTGCGAAGTCAAGCGATAACGAACCAGGACACCATCAGGTATCTTGGGTGCCGGAGACCGCTCGCTGAGTATGGCGCCCCAAGTTGAACACTCAGTTCGACAAGCCAGGGCAGTTCGAGCGGTCCTCTACCCAATCCTGGCATCCAAGCTACCTGTAAAGACGAAACTGGGCGTCTTTAAGACCTACATCCGTTCGCGCTTGACCTACGCCGCTCCGGCGTGGTATGCACTGGTTTCCGCCTCGCAGAGGAGCAGGCTCCAGGCGCAGCAGAACCTCGCCCTTCGAGCAATCGTGGGGGCCGGGCGTTACGTCAGGAACGACGTAATAACCCGAGACCTTAAGATCGAGTCCATCAAGGAGTTTGTGGTCCGGCTGGCCCGTCGCATGTACGACAGGGCCGACAACGGACCACACCCACACCTGGAGAATATTGCTCCACTCCATGCCCGTCCTCCTGACGGACTTCCGCTCCCACGAGAGCTACTGCGGTCGGAACAGGCCATTGGGGGGCCGGACCCGACCGCACTTCCGCCGCTGTGTCGAAGACGATGTCGTCCTCGCGTTACACACCGCGTGTAACGCCGTACACCCGCAAGTGCCGCTACCGCGGTCAGGGAAGGGGATGGCCGATGGCCATCCTCACCACCGACCAGCCATTCGCTGGTCGAGATACACACCCGAGTAATGGGGACAGGGCCCCCGAGACTCGTTAAAAGCAGGCCTCGCGCCAGCTTCGTACATCACATTATAATTTATTTCTACTAGTTTCAATGTTTTAAAACCCTGTATTTATACTAATTTGATATTATTTATTATATCCCAATAACAACATTAAAATTTTATATTCCAACAAAAGGATAATTTTACTTGATAAGTTAATTTTTTTCTGTTTACATTTGCAGTTTTGGACAGTCTGCAATATTCTTGATAGGTGGACCTGATAAAAACATAGCACCATCAGCAATTATGCTTGAAAGTGGGGATATAGCTGTAATGTCGAAAGAAGCCCGTCTTTCATACCATGCTGTACCCAAAATAGTATCAACATTTTCCCAGCCTTGGAATGATAACGAAAGTCTTAAAGAGATTTCTGAGAAAAAAATAAATTTGCGATATATAAAAAATAAAGAACATCTAATATTTGGTATGAACCGAAACTTAGATAATAATGAGTGGGAACTATTCAATAGCTATGTAAAAGAATCAAGAATAAATATTAACGTGAGACAAGTATTAAAATTAAATCAGAACAGTTTAAATGATTGACATTTATTAAAAACTTCATTTAATAATATTGTTTTACTGTTGTTTCCAAATTCATGATTGCATCTCTTGTTTTATTTTAGCTGCAGAACGTACTTCTTTCAGGATGATTGGTTAAGGAAGTTTGTTTTTCTCCTTGGTTGTTGCATTACGACTAAAACAAAATATAGGTCAATATTCATTAGATTATAAATAAATACGATTGGGACCATATAATGTACAGTTCCTCAAGTAATGATTATCATAGGAATTATATGGTCTGTTCCATAATCATGAACACTGTAAAGGGTTCGAAACGGGAACTAAAAAATACACGCGATAAATCCGTAATACGGATACCATATTAATTTCTACTAGTAACCAGGTATTGATTCATGTTATTTTTCTTATTTATGGAAGGGGCCAGGTAAGTTTAAACAAGTACTTATTAGTTATTACTTGTCATATGTTTATGCCTCTGTAATACACGGCAAATACTCATCGTGCGTGTATTCGTTGCGAATAATACTCGCAGGGACAATCCGCTACCTGCCTATCAAACACAGCGAATTCTACACGAGAACTTGTGTGACCTAAATATCAAACGAACCCGTAGCATGGACATGTAGTCTGACTCTGGAAAGGTGCGTTGCGCTGGGTACTCGCAGCGAGTACCCAGTTACACACAGAGAATAATGCGCCTTCGCAGAGAGTAAAATTGAACGTATTCAATTAAACTCCATGATTCTTACGCAGCGAGTTCTAGCTACGTTCTACTCGCAGCGACTATTTGCTATGTGTCTGTTTAAACAAAAGGCTGCTTTATTTGTATAGACGGTATACTTATACATATTTGTGCTCACCGTGCATCGCGCTCACACACACGATATTTAAATAGTTATAAATAGACATCCGTTCGTCACGTTTTAGAAACATTATTCCCTATTTTCTTTCCCTTCGGAAGTTATTTTCCCCGACATTCCCTAAATCACTTTCACGTAGTTTAAAGTAGTTAAGTAGTAGCGGAGTATAGTAGGTATCTTTTTCTAATGACGTATCTTCTAAAAATGTTTCTTTGAATTTTTTTCAACTTGCAGTTCTTCACCGGTAAAGCCTATGAACTTGAAAAAACGCTGGAGTAGGTACTTACCTATATACAGCATGTCGTTACCATCGCGACAATAAATGTATACTATATCGAATTAAAAGATAAGCACTAAATATGGTATGGTAAGCCCGGAGCCAACGAAGTTTATTCTATTTAGTTTAACCAAAATCTACCACCATGTGTATTTGTAACCGTATCCATCGGTTGCCACCAATTTCACGATGTCATCGGTCACCTAGTGGGTTGCCTTCGAACCTTACATATACCGATTCATGGTCGCGTTCGATTACTTTTCGCTATTGGTCATTAGTTATAATATAATAAATACATTTAATTTACCTTGAGCACTAGGTTTTGCGAGGAAATTTTCGCTGCTTCTATGGTAGTCACACAGTTCCCAGAAGCATTTGACATAATTTTCTGCGTAGCACTCAAATTCATCTTTGGCTTTAAAGTTTGCGAGCCTGCGAAATGTAGGTTTAAAACAATTTTCACAATTCAATTTATTAGGATCCACGTACATAATAATCAATAGAACTAAAAATTTTTATTTTAAACAATACGGTCCTTGTAGATTTGATGTCAATGTGTCACTTTAGATACATATTAAAAACAATGGCCAGTGTCTTAAAAGGTCTTAACATTCGGCTAAATATTTGCAAACCTTTGAATTATTTGAAACAGTGTAGTGAGATGGATTCTTTTCTTTTTATTTTCTATATTACAAATTCTGAGGAAGAGTTAAGTTTTTCCAGGCCGTTGTACCTGAGGGGAAACTAGTTTTGTTTTATGTGTGAGAAGGTGGCAAACGAGGTGGCTACCATACCAGGACATCAATGACATATGATATTGATGTCCTGATAACACTCTTTCCTTATCCTGATAACAGTCCTGACATCAATTCTTAGTCCCCACTAACTTAAGATTGCTGCAAAGTTGGAAATCTCAACCTATTGGAAACCTTACAAAATGCCTATTAGCCTTCTGTTGTCACTACTGGAAATCTTACACTTGTTAGGTTAGGTTAGCGTCGTGAAAACTAACAAGGCAGTACTCCCGTAATGAACTGAATCAACTGACAATAAGCGTCAGTAACAACAAGAAAAAAAAACTAGATAATAATGTAACGTATAATAAAAAGTAAAATTAAAATAGTATCAAATATTTTAATTTTTATAGTGCTATTCTTAACTGCACTTAAGATGAAGCTTAAAGTTTTCTGGATGAAAGGTTTTCGCTGCTGAGGGCTAAGCTGCCAAAGCTCTTCCCACTGAGCTAAACTGCATATCTTCTCACCGACGAAAATATCAACGTACCTACTTATCTATTTTGTTTTCTTGATTGCCTCATGTACCTACATGGGACGTCCGTATCTTAATTTTCCTTTCATTGGCCACGATGAATTGCACGAGAATATTTTGAATTTATCCATGCAGAAATATTTGTGGCGACTCATTCGCTATAGTGTAGCATCGCTTTTGTCTTATGTACCCTAACTCTCATCTGGTTTAGCATTACCCTAATATTCTCAAATAACTATAGCAACGAGGACAATAAAAGATTATGGTTTTCTCAACACGGCTTGTTCTTTGTACTATGCATAATTATGTATAATTATGCATAATACATTATTATGCTTGTGCGTCTGGCATTACTGCCACGGCTTGTCAACTACCGGGCTTAATGTCAATGCTTGTGCCGCTATATTTTTTAAAAGCCGAAACCAGCGTATTGTACAAATTAGTATGTATAGACTTAGTTGAACTAACAAATAAGTTCATTTTTGTTTCAAGATAATTCATTATATTATTGATCTGCATAATTATGTGCTTTTATTACAGTTCTTGTATCTTGTATTAACTGATGTTTTTGCTTTCGGTCCCGAGACTATTAAAGCTTCATCGGACGCAGAACCGGTGGGCTAGCCAGAACCCACGGGTTTGGACCCTCCGCTATGGGTAGGGTCGCGCATGTGCTCATGCGTGCGTTTAACTACTATGGTGTGTCATCTAAGGGCCGTCGAGGTCGCCGGTTCGGACCGAGACCCCGACGGCCGTCGACTGTGCATTTAGCTAATCGGTGGCTGGGAGCGGTGAAAACCGCCCCGGAACGCGGGTGTACCTTGTGTACGCGTTGTGTGGGTCTCGCCGTGCTCGGAGGCGAGGGCGAACTGGTGTGATTGTTGTTACACTAACTGTGGGTGTAGTGTTATCCGGTGGGACCCCGGGCGGTGGGTCCATCGTATCTAAGTCCCTCTTCGTCGACCGGGTCGATGAGGACGTTTCGCGGGCGACGCTTGTTTACGTTCGCGTTTGTGTCCGGTTGGTAGTTTGCTGCGCTTACCACCAGAGGGTTGGGATGATGCTGGGCTCTATCGAAGAACCGTTTTGTCAAATCTTTAAAATGAGCGCGAATCGTCGGGAGTCTGCAATCGCTGTGCAGGTCGACGTTGCGCTGATACCATTGCGCACCGGTTGCGCGGCGGATAAACTTACTTTGAACTGCAATTTGTTAATGCGCGTAGGATTTGTATGTGCGAAGATCATGCAAGCGTAGGACATGATTGGCCTTACGCAAGCTTTATATAACAGTAGTTTGTGCCTTAAGGGCATTTTACTATGCTTATTCGTTAAATTGTGTAGCCGGCCGGAGACGAACGCGGCTTTATTTCGGACTTGATTGATGTGCGTAGTGAAAGTCATAAGCGAGTCGACAGTGACTCCTAAATATTTGACCGTTTTCTCCCAGGAAAGAGTTTGGCCATATAGTGATATTTGCCCCAACTTTCTGTACTGGCGAGGACCTTTGTAACGGTGTGGCGGATGGGGGTTGGGGGTGCTACGAGTGAAGTGAATCGCCACACTTTTTTCTGGATTAATATCGATTCTCCATTTGCGGAACCAATCGCTGAGGCGGTCGGCGGCGCTTTGGAGTCGAGTCGTTAATTGACTGAGGTTGCGATCTGAGTAAAAGAGCGCCGTGTCATCCGCGAAAAGCGCGAGATTGACGTGGGGGTCTCTAGGTATGTCGCTCGTGTAGAGCGTAAATAACAAGGGTGAGAGGCAGGAGCCTAGTGGTACGCCGGCCGTGAGGCGGCGGCTTGTGGAGAGGGTGCCCTCGACTCGATATCGAAAAGAGCGGTTCAACAAAAAAGCCCGGATGGTGTGTACGAGCCTATCTGGCACTTTGAGTGTGTACAGCTTGTAAAGCAAGCCGTTGTGGCAGACTTTGTCGAATGCTTTTGCGACATCGAAGAAGAGAGCCCCTGTGCTGATGGTTATTACAGTTAGTGTGAGTTGTGGTGGTAGACAAGATACAATTGGCTCCCTCTGCATAGATCGGATACAAAATTAATAATTCAAAAACTGTCGGTAGCCCGGGTTAACTATGACAATCAGACGTCCAACGCCTCAGTCTGTCCCGTGACCATGAACGCTGTAAAGGGTTCGAGACGTCGGGAATTAAAATTAAAAATAAATGCGATAAATCCGTAAAAATTAGTTTCATTTATAATTGTTTACGTTCCAATCTGCAGTCATTGTTATTTGGTTTTCGAGCGTTACTGAAATGTCCCGATTTAAGGCATAAAGAAGCAACTATTTTCTTTTCGGTGTTTCGACTTTTTTTACCCTTCGTCGGCTAGCTTTCAAAAGGAAAGACTGGCTTCATTATGGTTCAAAGCAGTACACCCAGCTTTCGCCAATTATCACGGATATTACAGATAGTTAAGACTATCCTCCATTAAACTTCAATTTTACTATATCACCCAAAACATAGTCGTTTCTGATCCTTCGTTAAATCATGTGTTATCTACAAAGCTTCTGAATTTTCTGATGCAAGATGTTTTGAATTTGGGTCATTCTTATATCTAATAAAGTAAAAATTTGCTGACAAGTAATTTTTTGTCAGTTTGAATCAGTTGTGCTTCATATTCAATTATGTATCGGCAACTTCTGGCCGATCTTACGCAGTGAAGTTTCCATCGTCCTGGGGATGATAACTTCAATGTACAAAGTCTCC